GGGGTCTTAAATTTATGTAGTAATTATTTATTTACAATGATGGTTAAAGCTTTATAGCAGTAAGTTATAGCATTCCTTAATCTGTGTAGATATTCATAATAGATTAACGTTAGTAGCTTCTTACACGAACCTGAAGTTAGCTACCTATTTGCCAGCTTCTTGTTTGAATTTTCCTGTTCCACCTTATATGATGAAATTTCAGGCACCAAAAGTGCCTCCTCCACCATTTAAGGTGGAACGGGAAAATTCGAACAAGAAGCTGGCGTATGGGAAGCCAACTTTAGCATCATTCTTCTTACTGTGTTTTGGGGGGGGTATTTTATTTTTTTGTGTATTAAGATTAGAAGTGATTCACACATTGATGGATTTGCTGATTGTGAGATTGTGTTTTTATCGAAGTGCTGAACTCGGTTTTTAACGTCAGGTACAGACTGAATACTTCCCTGCTGGTCCGAACAGCTAATTATCACGATCAGTTATTGAAGTAATAAAAGCTACCGAGAGCAGATCCGAGCAGACTAGATTAATGCATGTTTGAGGATTATAACAAACAAACTTGGTGAGAATCGGTTGAGTAATAAGGAAGCTGTGGCTGATTTAATCCTGAGACTCTTCGTCTCTCAATACAAGTGAATCTGTTCACAAGCGGATCTTGACCTCTCCAACATGGCGGACGCGCAGCCGTATCGCCTCCGATAGAAAACAACAGACAACGCGGCATCTAGGCATGTATATGTGTGTGTGCTGCTAACTAGTTAGCAGGCTAACATCTTTGCTTACCACAGAACATGGCTAACCAAAGTTTAGATAATATTGATTCAAATCTGAGGGAGTGAAGTCGAGCAGCTGGAGCTGAAGGGACCAAAAAGGGGAAATTAAACCTGTTTTGTGGTGTTTATCTTAGCATTTGCTTAGCGAGCAGGCTAGCGACCAAAACAGTGCCACACACCACAGTACAGGCTTGATTCTGACTGACTGCTGCTCTGCTGAAACAAATGTAGCTGATAAAAATTAAAGTCAGAGCGAGTGAAAGTGGAGTGACTGACACAAATCTGAACTCGAGCCTGTTTTTTGGTGTGTGAGACTGTAGCGTTTTGGCTAAGCTAACGATAGCTTAGCTTAGCAGGCCAAACATACCACACAGCACAGAGCTCCCTCTACTATACATGTTTGTTCAGCTGTTCGGACATAGAAGAGAAATTTGGCACATCATAATTTTGAAATACCATCATTTTGTTTAAATACCGCTTTATTTTAAAGATTGTAGTATAGCTTATTACTGTTATACCACCTAACTAGTTCCAAAGCACATATGTTTTGCTATATGGTTTATTGTGGCATCAGAGCATGCTGTGGGTTTCCATGCTGATGCTGGATAAATAACCCCAGGCAGGATTCTGTGGTTGAGCACAGCCAGAGATTTAAAGACTTTTTACTTCCTCTTGGAAATAAGAGCGAGTTTGCTCTCTTGTACGGCTGCTGGGTCAAAATAAATCTGCGTTATCTGCACAAACTTTGAGCTGTCTATGCTTCTTTTGTGTACTTCCCACATTACAGGATACTGACTACCTAGCAACCTTGTAATTCAGAGGACTCTGTGAAATACAGGATAAAACAGTGCATATTAATTTAGGAACATTTTGTTTACCAAAACCTGTGCAGTGAAAACACTGTTCATTTTGTCCCCATAGCGAAAAACAGCTGAGATCTGGAGTTTCTTATTTGGGCATTTCATTGATTGCAAAATGAAAGACTTCATTTCTTTAGCTCTTCTGCTGTTGGACAAGCTGGGTTTGGGTTTAAGTTATCTGGCTAACTGAGAAATCCTGGGGACTGACACAGGAGGCACATCCATCTTCATAAAACCTAGCAAAACTATGTTTAACTCATTTTATGACAGCAGCCACGTTTACATGCAGTCTAATAATCCGACTAATCGGTCAGTCGGACTAGATCAGTCTGATTGAGGCCATTCAGAATGCAGTTTCTATCCGGCTGATCGAGGTGGGTAATCCTGTAAATAATCCGTTAAATAGAAGAATATATCCGTGTAGACGCCTGTATCTGATTACATTCCCTATCAGAAAGTTTCAGTCCGTTCTGATCATGTTCGTCGCGTCATAGTGAAAGTTTATACCGTCCAACATGGCGGAGCAGAAACTGGTCTGCAGAGGAGACGAAGTTTATGCTCTGATCTTTAAAAGACGGCGGTGGGACGGACGTCCAGCTTATGTGTCTCAGAACACGACATCTTCCTCTCGGCCTTCTTTAATAAGGACATCATTTTAAAGCAATTAAAAACACAAGCACTGCTCACTGCTGCTCATCTCACTGGACTCACGTGATGTTCGCTGTCATGGTAACGTCTACTCTAAGCGGTTCTCTACGCATGCGCGTCATTTTAGATCTGATTACTTGTAGTGAGCATGTAAACAAGTAGTCCGTGCAGCCTGGATTAATCTGTGTTTGAGGATTATAACTAAACAAACGTGGTGAAAATCGGTTGAGTAATAAGGAAGTTGTGGCTGATTTAATCCTGAGACTCTTTGTCTCTCAATACAAGTGAATGTGTTCACAAGCGGATCTTGACCGCTCCAACATGGCGGACGGTCAGACGTATCGCCTCAGATAGAGAACAACAGACAACACGGCCTCTAGAAATGTATATATATGGGGGAAATAGAAGTGGCCAGGCTCCCCATAAACCGGCTCTGGTAAGGTCAGAGAACTTAGGTGAGGTCGCCTGTTTTCTCTCGCGAGATCTGGCAGCACTGCAGTTCAGCGCCCTCGAGTGGCGGTTCTCCTCACTGTGAACTATCTGTGGCTGAAAGCGTTACAATGTCGAGTGCGCCAGTAAAAGTCTACCTGGATCTTCTGTCGCAGCCCTGCAGGGCTGTGCTGATCTTCCTCAAACACAACAAAATCCCTCACACGGTGGAGACTGTGGCGCTGAGGAGAGGTGAGCTTTACCGGCCGCTCTGACTGACTCACTCAACCTCGCTTAGACTGGCTGCTTCGAGTCAGTTACAGGATTTAACGGCTTGTTTTTATCTCATTTTCATGCAAACTGCCCACTAACTGTCTCCTAACTGCACTGCAATTAAGTCATCCTCTTTTTCTCCAGCTTGTTTTTTTTGTAATTTTCCGTTCCACCTTAAACGGTGCCACGGTCGCACTCTGAAGCATGAACGTGTAAAGGCGCCGGGCACCATTTAAGGTGGAACGGAGAATTCGGCTGAGAAGCCAGCTCCAGCCCCGCTGTGCAGACTAACCTTTGCCCCACTGCTGCAGATCAGAAGTGTGTAAAGTTAAAGTGAAGTTTGTCTCCGCAGGAGAGCAGAAGAGCGCAGAGTTCACCCGCCTGAACCCCATGCAGAAAGTCCCTGTGATTGAACACAAGGGCTTTGTCCTGACTGAGAGGTGAGTGGGGTGATATGTGGTGATATGACATCTTAATCATGATGAATTATGTCATGATACACTTTTCTGAGTATATCGTGTGTATGGTTGATACAGTAGAGTCAGACTTAAACCAGATACAGACAGTCTGTATAAAGAATTGGCATATCCCTGCTGAAAGGGGTGGGCGATATGCCAGTATCACAATAATTATGTCATGATATATCGTGAATTTCATCAGTACTCTTTGCACTATCCACTCCTTTATTAATAATATCTTTATTCAAAGTGCACTTTTCATACCAGTGGCAGCTTCACAGACAGGTAATAAAGCTTTAGAGCAATAGAAGAGATTGAGTAATAATTTAAAAATCATAAGACAACGACACAGATCAGATTAAAAAGATAAATACCAAAGACACGTAGAATTTTAATTAAATGCTGAAGAGATTCATTTCAAATGTTTCTTAAACGTGTGAGCTGAGCTCGACTGTCTAATAAAAGGTGGTTTATATTGAGTTCTATCTCCAAAATAGTGACTTCACAGGAGAGGGCAAAACTTTCTTTACTTTCAGTGTACGTCAATGGAAAGAGATTTTATTCTAAGCTATTTTGGAGCATTTCTATTGGTCCAGTCATCATGAAATTTTCACAGATAGAGATAGATGTTTTGTCATTGGACAGCGATGAGACATATATATATATATATATATTCTGATTTTTAAATAGTTGCACCCAGTTGCATTGCAGTCCAGCACTTCAGAAGGAAGATGAAGGTTACCAGGAACAATAAATGATTAAAAATTTAGACTGAGCAATATTTATTGAGCTACACATACAGAAGTAGTGTCTCTCAGTTTGGCGTCGAACCACCATGTTTGCTAATGCAACATGCCAATGCCAGAATGGAGTTGTAGAGGTTCCTGATGGTGTCCTGCGATAATCCATCCCATGCAGCTTGAATGTTCTCACGCAGTTCCTGCAGATTTCGCGGTAGGGGTGGAGCGTTGATAGCACGTCCATTAGCATCCCACACATTTCCAATCGGGAACAGGTCTGGCGATGCGGCAGGCCATGGCGAAGTAGCTGTGTCTTCAAGGCAGCTCTTGAGACGGCAGCAGTAGACGAGCGCTGTCCTGTTGGAACAGCGCACTGGAGGGTGTGTTCAGAAAAGGTAGAGCCGCTGATTGCAGGACCTCATTAATGTAACATTGGGCTGTCAAAGTGCCTGGAATTAAGACCACAGATGATCTGGCATCTTACGAAATTGCAACCCACACCACGACACCAGGCCTTCTGGACGTTTGACACGTGACAACAAACCATTCATCTTGGCGCCGATCACGGTGCCTCCACACAAGGACTCGTTGGTCGTCTCCACCAAGACAAAATGACGAAGATGACGAATGACGAATGAAGATGACCCGCTGCCATTCTGACTCACTCCATGACAGTCTGGCATGACACCATTGCGTCTTTGGCGACGTCGAAATGCCGTTAAGGGTGGTTGTCGTAATGGTCTGCGTACATGTAGTCCTGCGTCGTGCAGCCGTCTGCCAAAGGTGCTGGCACTAACAGGATGACTGATGGAGGGCATCTCTGCTTGCTGAATGTCCGCAGTCGTGGCTGTTGGATCAATCCGGGCATGTCGGACAATCCATCAGTTCTCCCTCTCCATGGTTCGTGTAGGTCTCCCAGATCCTTCATGTCGCTGGTGCGTGCCTTCTTTTATCCACTGCCACCAACAGCCTGCTATGGTAATATCCGCACGACCGGTATGACGCGCGATACGTCGATAAGACCATCCCGCATCCTGTTTTTTTCTTCCATGCAGTTAAGTAAATGTCCGTGCATTAAATCATATGGATGCACGAACATAATGACATAATGACTGACAAAATGAGTCAGAAGGAACACTGCTGATTATTATTGGGTTTTATACTGTGCAATATTATTAAAACTCCCTTGTTTCTAGTCTGAAGTGAAAAAAATGTTTTTTATTTCTTCCCATGATGACTTTTATTTTGTCATATTAACGCAGTGACGCTATACTGAAATACCTGGCGACGGCGTATAACGTCCCGGAGCACTGGTACCCCCGCGAGCCGCTGCGGAGGGCCCGGGTGGACGAATACACAGCCTGGCACCACACCAACACACGCCTGCACGCCGCCAAGGTCTTCATCATGGAGGTGAGCTTTCAGTCACGTCACCTCAAAAAAACATTTGTACTGTATTTATGTTTACAGTTGTATTGCAAAGTTTGCGCCCCCTGGTGTAAATAAGTGAACACATCCTCTACAGAGACACACTTCTGCACATTTTAATACACAATTACTGTTTATTTACAGAATTTAACATAATGGGGGGAAAAAAAAACAAAAATTACAGCACATTTTATATTTTCACTTTGAAAATCAACAAAATATGTCATTTGATTGGGGGTGTTCAAACTTCTGCATACTACTGTGTGCTATATAATGTTTATACTGGCAAGAACCCACTTCCTGCCAAGATAACGTCAGTGGTTCAACTCCACCTGTGCAGGTGTTAATGCCCAGTATGTTGGGCCGTCACGCTGACCCGGCCAAGCTGCAGAAAGCTCTGGAGGAGCTGGAGCAGACTCTGCAGAAGCTGGATGAGATGTTCCTCAAGAGGCAGGCGTTCCTGTGTGGAGACGACATCAGCATCGCTGACCTGCTGGCCGTCTGCGAGATCATGCAGGTCAGAGACAGATTTCAGGATACGTTAATCGTACAGGCAATTATAATAATATTAATAATAATGTTTACCTATGAGAATGTAGTGTTTACCTGTTCTGTTAGAGCTCTACTCTTGTGAAATGTGCCATAACTTTTGCACAGGCTGTAAATATGTCTCAGTATGTGCTGATGTACTAATATAAGCTAAAAATTATAATATAAATGAAAAGACAGACTTTCTTTGCTCTGCTTTAAGCTTTAGCTCAGCTACAGCTGCTTTTCTCGCATCTCCAGCAGGAAACTTTTCCTCAAAAGTTGAACAGTTTCCTGTAAAACGTCTCTCAACGTTTGATTATTTACGAGGCTGAAGTCGCTTCTCATTCTCCAGCTTCTTGTTCGAATTTTTCTGTTCCACCTTAAATGGTGCCTGAGGTGCCAGAATGTAACTGCTGCACCATTTAAGGTGGAACGGGAAAATTCAAAAGAGAAGCTAACGAATGAGAAGCGACTTCAGCTTCGGGACTTTTTAGTGTTTGTCAGTTTCTCGTTGCAGATTAAACATATCAGGAAACCAGCTGGAGTGATTATAAACACAAATAAGTCCATTTGTCTCCAAATTATTGATGTTCATCTTAAATCTCTCTCTTTGCATTTTCGTAGCTATTAGCTAGGCGAGATTGTTGTCTGCGTTGCTATGGTGACCAGCAGTCTGTGCTGATCTTCAGGGTTAAAGGGTGAATTAGCAGTTCTACATTAACTCCAGAGTTTAAGACCATTTATTGTTAAACTGTGTTGAACGATCAGCAGAGCTTTATTTTACTGTAAAGGAGGTTTATTTTATTTTTACCTACAAATCTGATTCAGCTGTGGAGCCACAACAGTAAAAGAGCCACATGCTGCCGAACCCTGTTCTATGTTTTCATGCCTGTCTTAAAATTGCAGGGATGGTTATCAACATTCACTTTAGTTAAAGTCTAATTGAATGTAATCAAACTCAAACCAAGAAGTTGAACTGAATTGTGTGTTGCAGCCTCTCGGCGGCGGTCGGGACATCCTGAAGAATCATCCGAATCTCCAGAGCTGGAGATCCAGGGTGCAGGCGGCTCTCGGGGAGCCGTTCAACGAAGCTCACAGCATCCTGTACCGGCTCAGGGACAAAACCGCAGCAAAGCTGTAACCCAGACATGCTGGAATATTCCAGAAGTTTAATAAGGCAGGATTTCTCAATAAGGCTGGATGATTGAAGCCCAAATTGAGTGTCGTCCAATAGAAATAGACCTCTGAGGTCATGTTGTTGTCCAACACTAGCATCTAGATGAGTTAAGCTGGGTCTCTCTCTGGGAAAAGTTAATGGTGTCTTTGAAGATCGCCACCATCGGTTAATCCAGTTCTAAATCCAGAGTAAAACTCTGCTGTTCTTGATTTTATGTGCGCTGTAAAACAAATTAATATCTAACAAATCAGAATAAAAAGCATCTCAGCCCTGACTGATCCTGGAACTGCTTAAGATCCATAATCACAAACTGCTTCCAGAGACAGGCCTCAACTAAAAAACAGAAAAACAGCTAATATTAATAATAAAAATGACTTTAATCTGGGAAATATACTATAATATGACTGTAATATGATTATTACTTTGAGCATTTTCAACAACAGGGCTGTTTTTGTGAATATTTCTATTTGGACTGATTGAGTGCTCCATTGATTGTGCCTAATGTGCCTTTAAAATGTTTTTCAAATTGTGATAATACATATTATTGTGATAAATTATGTCAATACAATATGCTTTTTTTTGAATGTATCGTGTATGTCATCAGTCCTTGTAGACACTGACCAACTGTACGTTTCATTATAAAGAGAGCAAAATTTAGCCCTGTTTAACTGGATTTAGTGTCAAATACTAAATAAAAAGCATTATATTTACAGTTGTTGATAGAATTATTTTTTAAATGTCGCTTTAATAGTTCTTTTTTCTTGGTTCCAACTGATCAGATGAAAAAAAATAAAAAATATCATGACATATCATGTATCATGAAAAGTTCTTGGCTCAAATATTTTCAATCAAATGTGTTTTTGAGACAAGAAAACACAATAAATATGTAAAAAATGTTTATTGGAAAAATATACAAAGTTATTTACATGTATACAAAAGACCACACCAATGGACCTTATGGTGCAGTGTCTGGACCTGGACGCCTTTTAGGCTCCGCCTCTTCTGCAGGTTCTTCTGCTTTCCGCTTAGAAGCCTACGACACACACAAACAAACATAGAAACATCGATACATCCCACTGAGAACCACTTTATAGCAGGAAACTTTTCCTCAAAAGTAGAATAACTAAAATATCTCTTAAGATTCAACTTTAAAGTCAGCTTCTCTTTCGCCAGCCTGTGGTTCAAATTTTCCCGTTCCACCTTAAATGGTGCCTGAGGAGCCAGAATGTAACTGCTGCACCATTTAAGGTGGAATGAGAAAATGTGAATAAGAGCTGACTTCATCTTTGTGACTTTAGTGTTTAACGATAGTAATTTAGTAATAATAATAATAATAATATTTATTTATATAGCACTTTTCATACTGGTGGCAGCTCAAAGTGCTTTACAGACAGAAGATAGTTCAACAGTAATATAAGAAATTAAGTTAATTTAGAATCATATAAAAAATGACAGATCAAACTGAAGATAAATAAAACGAGAAGAGTTTTAATGAGGCGCTGAGTTAAAGAGCTGCGTTTTCAGATGTCTATTAAAAGTGAGCTCTGAGCTCGACTGTCTAATAAAAGCTGAACTGAGCTCCACAGTTTAGAAGCAGAATAACTGAACGAGTCTCTCCACGTTTTCTGTGTTTTACTGAAGGTGTTTCTAGAAGGTCAGAATCTGCAGATCTAAGATCATAGACAGACAGACACTCTGTGATGTAAGTGGTGCTTTAAGGTCATTTAGAGCTTTAAAAACTAGTAGCAGAGCTTTAAAATCATCCTGAGTGATTCAGGCAGCCAGTGCAGTTCTTTCAAAGCAGGACTGATCTGATCTCTCTGTGTTGTTTTTGTTAGGATGCTGATGTATTTTGTCTGAGTTGTAAAGGATGGACTGTTTTCTTAGGAAGTCCAGTAAGTAAAATAAATGCATGAACAAGTTTCTCTGCGTCGCTCTGAGAGAGAAAAGGCCGAACTTTAGTGATTTTCTCACATGATGAAAAGCTACTTTAGTGACTGTTTACATGCAGATCAAACAGAGCTCAGAGTCTCAGATCACAGTTTCTCTGTTTGACAGTTTCCCGTTGCAGATTAAACGTATCAGGAAACCAGCTGGAGTGATTATAAATGCTAATGAGTCCATTTGTCTCCAAAATATCAATGTTCATCCTAAATCTCTCTCTTTGCCGTTTCATTAGCTATTAGCTAGGTGAACTAGCAGTTATAGGCTACATTAACTCCAGAGTTTAAGACCATTTATTGTTAAACTGTGTTGAACGATCAGCAGAGCTTTATTTTACTGTAAAGGAGGATTATTTTATTTTTACCTACAAATCTGATTCTGCTGTGGAGCCACAACTGGACAGTAAAAGAGCCGCATGAGGCTCCGATGTTGCATGTTGCTGACCCCTGGCATTAGACCCTCCTAATATCAGGTGAATATTCACAGCACTTTTCTTAGAGTTCAAAAAAGAGATTTTATTAAGCATAAATAAATGTTCTCTGTTAAAGAATCTGATGGGTCAGCTGTCTCACCCTGGCTGGTTGTGTGCGCAATGGGCGTTCAGCTGGCCTGGCGGAGGACTGGGAGGGCTGGGAGGTTTCAGGGGTCTCGGTGGGCTGTCCTGGGTACATCAGCCTGTGGGCCGTTTCCCTCATCTTCTCGTCCTAAAGCAGATGGGGCAGAATGATTTTACCTGCTGTGAGCACGGTGTTAAAATTCTCATATTCAATAAGCTCCAAACATGTTTCGCTTTAACGCTAATGACCAAAAAAATGACACATCCTGTTTAATCATTTTGAGCATTTACTTATAATTTTTATTAAAATTGACACTGTAACCTCATATTCAAGCTCAGATTAACATTAACAATACATATTATTTTAATTTCTGCTTTAATAAAAGTGGTAAGAGAATCATTCATTACAATTAATTAGCGGCTAATTCTAAACCATACTGACATGAAAAGTTTGTGCACCCTAGTCAAAAGATGTTTTAATGATCTTCTTAGTGTAAATAAGTCAACACAACCTCTACAGAGAACACAGTTTAATACACAATTACTGTTTATTTGCTAACTTTAACATACCGGGGGAAAAAGTAAACATAAAATGTGGCCAATCCACAAGATATTGGGAAAATAAAAAAGGGCCATATGTTAAACTAAGCTAAAAAAACAGCTACTGAGCAGAAAGATGCCCTATTTCAGTGTGTTCTGTAGAGGACTCTATGTGCTAACTCACTGTCGGAAGTGGACCTGCAATTTTGCTGGACCGTTTGTTTTGTGCAGACTCAGGTAGGACTGTTCACACCTAACGAAATGGACTGAGCTAAACAAAAAGTTCTGTAGGTCCAAACCAAACAAGGAAGGCGTGAAAGTGCTCTTACTTTCAGCCATGGATGCTGCAGAGCTTCGGAAATACTGAGCCGCTTCACAGGATCCACAACCAGCAGCTTCTTCACCAAGTCTTTAGCTGAAGATAAACAAACAAACAAACGAATGAAAGTAGAAAGAACAAGCAGTCTTATGGGACACCGAGGAGACATCAGCGACTCTGTTACTACTTTTAAACCAGTATCAGTAAACATAAGTGCAAATGCTGTGACATCATGATTCATTTAGTGCACTATGAAATTTCAAATTTCACCACAATTTGATCTGATTATTTTAAAATAATTACATTTATTAAAAAAAATTGGTGCATTGGTGATTCAGGAGAATAAAACCAGGCTAAACTATGGTGAGTGTGCGCTGCTGCGAGTCGCCTGTAAAGCCTGAATTCATTTAAAACTGAGAGGCGTCGGGCTGGGAGTTTTTCACACCACGTCGTACGTCTTTACGTATTAACGTCACACGCACAGGCTCTAAAAGAAGGTCCGGCTCGATGTTTAAGTCTCTAATGTTGATGATCTCAAAATCAACATTATACTGATGAAGATATGATGACCGTAGTAGATAATTCACTCACATCCTCAGAAGATGCTCCTTCACCAGGTTTAGACTGAGTTCTCTTTGAATTCTCTTTCAATCAACAGATTTATTTGTTCGGGAAAGGGGGCCAAAGCACAACCCACACTAGGGGTGGGAATCTCTAGGCACCTCATGATTCGATTCGATTACGATTCAGAGGCTGCGATGCGATTATAAAATGATTACTGATGCATCTTTTTTTTTCTATACAGGTTTTCTATTTTCTCACTGTGTGAGGACTTGGTACTTTTAAAGCTAAGTATTTGTAATGATCCATAATGAATTTATTTCCAATATCTTTTATTAATAAATCAAACGGAAGTGATGTGGCAAGGGAACTGGAAGACTCTCATTCACTGCTCGTTTGGAGCTCATGAGACGTTGCTGCCACTCATCTGCGATAAAATGCAGTTACGGTGACACCATATCCAATGGCAATATCTTTGAGACGGGACGCTGTATCTCGGCTCCAAAGTGTGCAACATAGCGCGAAAGTCCTGTTTCGCAACAACTGAGAATTGCCGTGCAGAGAATTGCCTAGCAACGATGCGTTATTCGCATTTATAATCAGCGCAGTTTCCTGGTACGTTAAATCTGCAACGAGAGACGGTCAAACACTAAAACTTTGCGAAGATGAAGTCGCTTCTCTTTAGAATTTTCCTGTTCCACCTTAAATGGTGCCGCATTTACATTCGGCGCCTCAGTCACAATTTAAGGTGGAACTGGAAAATTCAGCAAGAAGCTGGAGAATAAAAAGCGACTTCAGCCTCATAAAACAGTCGAACAGTGAGAGACATTTTACAAGAAACTGATCTACTTTTGAGGAAAGGTTTTCTGGTGGAGATGGGAGGAAAGTGGCTACAGCAAATTAAATCTGCGCTCTCGTTCGTATTTTTAACCTATACTAGGACATCAGCACATACTGAGACATACTGGACATTAAATGTTGTGGCTCCCAAGGTGGTTTGACTTTTGTTGAAAGGACAAAATGGCTCTTCTTAACATACAGACTGACTGTCCAGGCGCTGCACTTCCGCACTTCCAAGTTCCGCCTTTTGTGTTCCGTCAACATTACGTTATAAATTAAATATTTAGAAAATCGATTTTTGAAATTTGTGAATCGATTCAGAATCGTGCACGTCCGCATCGTGATGCATCTAAGAATCGATTTTTTCCCACACCCCTAACCCACACTACTACTGTTCTACCGCACGCTGTGTGTAATTACACATTTCCACCAGAGAGGTCTCCAAATCTCTAAATCTTACACAGTGTAGCTTTAAACAGCATTGGAATATTAGTCATTTTTGGGTTTGAAAATAGCTTGAGAATTATACATATTATTATATATTTTTTTATTATTATTATTATCAATCATAATTGATTTTAACATTACAAAATCAGTGCAGTTGCTCAATGCATTTTTCCAGATGAACATGATGCAGTGCGGACGTTACCATTGCTGGACACAGCCTGCCACTGTGATCGAATAAAGCAGTAGTGACCACTCATTATTTGGTCACGGACAGGCATTGAGCTGCTCTCTGGATTAAAAGGGGGATACCCTCCCAAACTGAGAGAGAGAGAGAGAGAGAGAGAGAGAGAGAGAGAGAGAGAGAGAGGGAGATTAGACAAATAACCACACATGCAGACATCCCAGACCCCAACACTGACCTTTCAGTACAAAACCATTTTACAGAAAACATCACTTTCAATCAACATTATAGGGATTTCCACTGAATTTTCAAACTTTCTGCATAATTCAATCAGTAAGATGTAAACAAAGTCAGTCAGAGTGGTTTGAAATTTCTTTACAGTGGTGATGATAGTAACCAGGGGTCGCCATGACAACAACACAAATATAGACATTTTATTTACTATCCAGAACCACCAGTGAACCTACACGAGTCTTCTGAGTTTATATGGAATGTTGATGATGGAAAATAGTGGAAAATCTGAAATAATACGTTTTCGTTGGGGACTATTTGGCCTCACAACACCCTGCATGTATCCCTTCATCATTCATCAGGCTCAATCCTGGTCCTGCAGATCTGGAATTTTATCAATCAGAGAGGCTACTCAAATGGAAGTTTCGTATGGTTACTGAGCAAATGACCCACCAGATGAAGAGGAGAACACCCAGGCTCCAGCAGTCCACCGCCCGCGTGTACCCGCCTGTGGATGCCGCTGTAAAAACCTCAGGGGCCAAATAAGTGGGAGTTCCGCACAGTGTCTTCATCAGGGACGATTCCTCTAAAATCTTGGACTGGTTAAAATCCGTAATCTGGAACATTTACGCAAGACAAACATGATAAACACAAGATTATACCGTCGCGCAGCTGTTGAGTGAATCCAAAGTAGATGGAATATCAGCATACAAATGGTTCATGATGAATAATATAACCAAGAAGAGCATATAGATTCTAAACTAAAGTGGCCCAAGAACTGACCCCTGTGGAACGCCATGATAGTTACACTGCATCCTATTAACTTTAACAAACTGATGTCAACTCATAAGATTGAGTAACTGAAGCTCTGAATTAGACTGGATTAGTTCTTCCAGTGAAGGTTATGTAATGTGTGTGACTTTAATTAATTAATTAGCTGATCAATAAGTCTGGAATAAAATATCTGTATAATTTTCCAAAGGATGTCACAGATTGAAAAATGAATGTCCGGATATTCGTATGAACACTGTGCCACAGAAAAGGCTCATAAAATAATAACATTACGCTGCACAGCTGTGCCCAGAGTGAGGGGTCTGTGTGAGTAAACTCTATATATACACATTTCTTTTTTAAAATTAAACAATAAAAAAAAAAAACTGACTTTGATGAGACACTCATCATCGTGGGAGGTCAGCAGAATATTCTCCGGTTTAAGATCCCGGTGGATGATCCCGTTATCATGCAGGTACTACAGAAAAATAAATGTATACTTTTATACAAACACAATTGAAGTAGTTACATGCCAGTTAACTGTAAACATGAAGAATCTTCTACTGTTCAACCAGGACTGGCCCGAGTAACTCGAATACGAGTGTTTGTTCGTCAGATTGGTCTTCGGATCTCTACTTAGTATTTGGAAGCTTTGCTGTTCTGCAGGGTTGAAGTGATCACAGTTTCAGAAGTCCTGTTGCCTTTCAATGTGTCCTTCTAGCTCGAAGCTCCAAGGCTGCCCCAACTGAACGGGATACCTGCAGAGCAGCTTCCAGGGTGGGCCTCCTCACATTCAGACAGTCCTTTAGCTCCAAAAGCTCCTCAATCGAATCCTCAACTCTACTCTCTGTAGCTCAGCTAACTAGGTGTCGCCCAGCCCTAGAGCTGGGCGATATGGCCAAAAACGTTATCACGATAAACAAAATTCATATCGATTTCTTTCACGTTTGAAGGCTGATTTTGCTCCTGGGGGGTTAACTGTGGTTTTAAACTATCACTTATGGTCCGATCATGACAAACACTCGGCAAACAGTGGAACATTTCACTAATCTGTCTCGGGACAGTGGGAGAAAGTTTCTGAGCTGTTTTTATCAGCTTGAAAAGCACAGCTGCAATTTTTGTAATAGTCATAATTTAAAAAAGAAAACAGATTATTTTATCTGTCTGGTGTCGAGCGCTCGGCTACCCCGCTACAAACGCTAAACAAGTGGCCAACAACAGTGCTAAACTCTTTAGTTTCTCAACAACGTCAACTCGGTTCGGTAGGTCACTGCTGTCACTCCTACTACATCCATATCAGAGCAGATCACAGTATTCAGACACCAGCTAGACGGCTGGGTTTCTCTATGCTATCGCAGTAGTTTAAGGGGTGAACCGCAGTATATCTGACGCTCGCTGTGTAAAAGCATTATCTGCAGTGTGAATCTCTCACACCAGTCACAGAGTCCTCCTTTTAGGTGTGTTTAAACTGAAAGCGGTGATTTTGTGTCTTGTTTGATCTACAGTATCATCAATTCACCGTGTTGTGCCGGAGCGCTGCTTCAAGTTAGCCAGCAGCTAAAAACAGCTAGCCTGGAAAGCTAACCTAGCGCTCTCCCGCTTCCCAATGCCTCACAGCTTCCTCAGTTTACTTTCGTTTAAATCAGGGCTGTAATTAACATGAACCCACTTCTTTCTTTCACTTTCGTTGCTCAAGAATGCACTAATACTAAAATATGACGGTTTGGCGCTGTAACACGGCGCTGCAGACGTGATTTAACACCGCTAAAGTTGTTAGGATGTACAGAAAGAGGTGAGTTCACCGTAGGACAGTACAGTTACACCACTGACCTCGTCACTCACACTCGGTCACAGGCGAACAGATCGCCGGTCGCTCCACTCAAACAGGGACTGTATAACTCGTATAACGGCTGTTTCAGCCGTTGCTAAAGTATATTTGGCGACCCTTTTTTTACTCGTGGCCCCCTCCCTCTCTAATCAAGTCGAAAAAAAAAAAAGTGCGCCCTCTCCTGGCGACAGTAGAGTAGTGTCCCTTTCCTTGCAGTAGAAAACGCCACCAGGGCTTTCGCTAAAACGTGGAAGTGTGAGAATGGTGTATTATATCGAACATTTATCGAACCTGTCTTATCGCTCTATCGAGGAAAAGGTTATATCGCGATACTTATCATTATCGTTTTATCGCCCAGCCCTACATGGCCCAGAGGTTTTTCAGAGACTTCAAACAGACTTATGAGAAAAAAAAGAGAAAAATTGGCAAGACGGCTAAACAAGAGACCAAAGAAACCCATAAATGTGAGAATTTTCTGTTAAAAAACTACGATAACCATCGTATTATCTCAGTTTAATGTAGTTTCAATGTATTATTGTCCTTTTCTTCATAACAAGCATAAAAAAATCAGTAGTAGTAGCTGATCTCTGTAATTCGCTAGCTAAATTTTCCCGTTCCACCTTAAATGGTGCAGCAGTTACATTCTGGCACCTCAGGCATCAGAACTGCTGCACCATTTAAGGTGGAACTGGAAAATTTGAACAAGAAGCTGGTGAATATCTGACTTCAGCTTCATATCACTGAAGAATCAGGGGTGGGTGATAATAAATGATTGTCGCTCTTTAAAGGCATAAGATTCCCTAAATGTAAAAAAAAGTATCTGAAAGTCTATAAACTGCTGTTCGGACCAGCCCAAGTTCAAACTAAACTGATTTATTTAATGGTTAATCTCTCTCTATTACCTTTAAATACAACCATAAATACCTCAGTTAAGATGAAAAATCTCATATCAACATCACGGAAAACCAAATTCCCCTCCCTTTTTTCAAATAAAGGAGTAAAATGTAAACTCCAGTGATGTCACTACAACCGACTCATTTACATATATCCACTAATTCAGCCTACTGCAGTTTAGCTCCACCCATCCAGTTCTAGGGAGTGTTTCAGCTCAGAGTGCTTTTTTAAGGCACTGTACTGGGTAGCCAATCAGAACAGAGCTAATTTACATATATCAGTCTTGAATGTACAGTAAGAAAACCCTGTTTAATTCTAGGGGTTAAAGTGAGTTTGGAAAATGGTCAGGTATTAAATAATTATAACCATTTCTGGTACATAGAATCACAGAAATGTTATAACTGAGCCTCAAGGGGAAAAAAGAAAAACGAAGGGAAAAAAAAAACCTTCACTCACTTCCACGGCTTTGAGCATCTGATAGAAATACAGCTTTGCGATGTCTTCTTTCAGCTGCTTCTCCGTTTTGATCCTACTGAACAGCTCTCCACCCTCCACACTGAAAGAGACGGAGGGGAGAAGATGGGAGTCATACAGAGAAAAATCAATTAATAAACTGAATGAATTAACACAGGCTCACATATAATCTCCTCCCGGCTTAAATACAGTGCTTCAAAAATATGTTAATCTTGGTTATCTTGACAACATAACATTCTGACCACCTCCTTGTTTCTACGCTCATTGTCCATTTTATCAGCTCCACTTACTATATAGGTGCACTTTGTAGTTCTACAGTTACAGACTGTAGTCCATCTGTTTCTCTGATACTTTGTTAGCCCCCTTTTACCCTGTTCTTCTGTGGTCAGGACCCCCATGGATTTTAATTAGGATTATTTTATTATTATTTTAGTCATTTTAATTAATTTTAGTTTCTTGTTTTGATCTGATCATCCTTCTGTTTTATTTATCTTTTGATTTTATTAAGTTTTACATTTTAGTTGTGTTAATTACACACACACACACACACACACACACACACATACATACATATATATATATATATATATATATATATATATATATATATACACACATACACGCACAAATTCTATCACAAGACTTCACTTTCTTTACGTTTCACATTTCATGTTAGTTGTTTGTTTTCTCACTTCTTACAGTAACTGAATAGATATCTTTTTCATATCCTGATTACGTGACGCTGTTACAGGTATTACTATGCAACCCTGATTATTTACTCTACTCACTATTCTAAAACGATGTAATAGGACTCCTCCGTCTGATAGAAGTCCTCTGTCTTGATCAAACAGGGCTGCAGAAAAGAAAAAGTAGATTTGAAAACTTATTTCCATTTTCAGCATAATTTAAAGCAATATTTATCGACAACAGGCGAGAGCGAAACAAGGAAAAAGACTTACATGATCAATTTTCTTTAAAATCTCAATTTCTCGCTCAGCATTTCGTGTTGCGGTCTGGAGAAAGAAAGCAAGAAAAAAGAACAAGATTACTAAACACTGTGCTGTATAATTCATTAGTATGTATAATTTATTTGAATTGCTGATAAAGAAAAGTCTTACTCCAATAGAGGGGAAATCGTTCTTATTTATTGTTTTTAACGCAACCTTTTTGCACGTCTCCCTCTCGATAGCCAGTCTGACCTCCCCACAGACGCCCCTGTGAACAGAGCACAGCAGTAAAACGGGGCTGCACAATATATCGTCTATTAATCATTACACTTTGGCCTTTGCAATACTGATACGATATACGGCCAAAAGTATGTGGACACCTGACCATCACACCTATATGAGCTTGTTGGACTTCCCATTCCAAAACCATTGGCACTAATATGGGTCCCCTTTTGTGGCTCTAACAGTCGCAGCTCTTCTGGGAGGCTTTCCGCAAGATCTTTACATGCTATGTGTGTGGTCTACAGACTCAGGGCTGAGCTGTTGTTGCTCTGAGGTGCTTTGTGATAAAGTGCGTCCCTCGGCCCGGCAGTACGCTGTGGCAGGGGACACACCTTATGGGTAGCGTCCGGCAAGTGGTCCAAGTCACTGGAATAAATACAGCTAATCCAAGAGTTCTTCTCCCCGTCACCTTTATTTACACACCAACACTCAGGATTATTTACATATTTACACGCAAATGAAAACAAAACGAAAATAGTCTCTACAACTATAGAATTGACCAATGACTGCAAAGTCATATAGGTCTGCACTCGTATCACCTTCAATCTTCCACCAAGCTGAAAGAAGGGATCTCCCCCCGTACCCCCCAGTAATGCTGCTTATATTTGGGGTGCTCCTCCCCTAGAATATACCATTACTGGCCCGGGTTAAAAACAAGTGCTTCAGGTATTTAAATATATTTACATTCAACAGTAAATAATTCATGATCTTCCTTACTGATCAATTTTCCATTCATGACGTCATTAACACACATTCACAATACAGTGTACACTTATTAAACAGTTTTACTCTTCTTACAGGTTTGGCCCTTCCCTCCTCTTCTACAGAGGATGGACTCACCTAGGTAAGTAAATCACAGGTGAACCCGTTCAGTTCTCTTTGCTCCTCAAAGCAAGGATAATCAGTCCTCAGGTAAGTACAGGTAAGTGTTTACACTTATATTGTGATGTGTAAAGGAGTACTTTACATCATCACATGCTTCCTTTTCACAATAATAGCACTTACGGTTGTCTGGGGCAGATCTAGCAGGGAAGAAATATCACAAACTGACTTGTGGCAGAGGTGCCTCGTTTAAAGTCACTGAGCTCTTCAGTGCGACCCATTCTATTGCCAGTGTTTGTCTATCGAGACTGCAAGGTTATGTGCTTGATTTCATACACCTGCTATCAATGGCTTGGCTGAAAACAATAATTAGGAGCGGTGTCCACATACTTTGGGCCATATAGTATCTCAGGCTGCAATATACAAATTAGTCCTCTAACCAATCAAAGTGTGTTTTACTCTGTGCTGTGAGCATCCTGACCAATCACAGCTCCAGATCAGTTTCTTGTGGTAAATCAAGCTGTTCATGTGATCCAGCAAAGGGAAATTATTGTGGCAGGTCAGTGTTTAACCGTCACATTATTGATTCTGATGCGATTTTAATATATAGTAAGGCATATCAGAATATATAACAAAAATGATAAAGGTTCAGACCTAAAACTCTCACGCACCGACTTTTTCTGCCAGTCAGTTTTAGCTAGGCATTATGGTTAAAATTGTATATTTTGATATTTTTCAGCCTTCCAGCAATAATTCACAACTATATTATATATGATTATATTAAAGGATCTTTTCTGAAATGGTTCAAAAGAGTGAGCCATCATTTGGACAGCCTTTATTAAATGCAGGAAGACTTTAAAATGACTAAAATTTAAATAAATAAATAAAATACTAAGAACTAAAATCCTATTTCATTTTTTTTACTATTTGACAGTGATTATTTACAGTTATCTTTATTTTTTATCATTTTACTATTCATCATTTTATTTATTTATGTGTAAATATAGAGTATATCTACATTAAAGCATATTCCTACAGAATACAGTGTGTACATACATAAAAATCAAGTTTAATAGCCTTTCTTTGAAAACATATTAAAAAAAAGCCAAATAAACATAATAATGGGCCATTTTTCACTAAATGGTATAGGATCATGTTTATTTTGTACAGCAGAGGGCGCTGTTTCAAGGTGCAAAAAAGGTCTTTAGGTTGTGTATCTTTATCCTCTTCCTCCCTCCGTATGTTAATATTCGACACGCTGCCCAGTATTTTAAATATTTCAGTATTTATGAAAGTCAATAACGTGATCTTAACAGGTCCACACTTACGAGCCGATCCTCCTCGTAACGTGGTACTTTTCTCTGAACTCTTTCGGAAAATTCGGCTGCTCGTCCTCAGTCATATCAACAAACATAAAAACTGGAGGAGAAGAAAAAAGAAAACAAGAGAATAACACATATGGCTTAAAGGAAAAGATATATATACACACACATATATACACAAAGCATTTCTAAATTCGTTATTTCAGCTTCTGCGTCCAGATGTTGATCCACTGCCCAGCACTGAGCTGATTAGCTGGATCAGGTGTGTTGGCAACAGGTAAAACACCAAAAAGTGCCAGGCAGTGGGCTTCCAGGACCAGGGTTGGGAAACACTGGCTCAGCAGACACAACTGTCAATCATTATCACATCTGCCAGTGTCAACAGTGCATTAGCCTGTGTCATTAGTACACTGGCCCTTGTTATTAGTGCATCATTAGTGTATCTGCTGTGTCATTAGTACATTAGTCTTGTCATTATTGTATCAGCCTGTGTCATTAGCCTATCAACCTGTCTAATGAGCGTATGAGCTGCATCATTAGTCTATCAGGCTGTGCCATTAGTGTATCTGCCTGCGTATCTGCCTGCGTATCTGCCTGTCACTAGCATAACAGCCGGTGTCATTAGCATATGATCTATGTAATTAGCATATCAACCTGTCTCATTAGCATATTAGCTGCATCATTAGTACATCAGCCTGTCTCGTTTCAGTATCTGCTGCGTATCTGCCTGTGCTGTGTTCCTGACGTATCAGCTTTCGTTATGTCAGTAGCGAATCTGCCTTTCCTGTGTTTTTAGCGTATCTGCCAGCATATCTGCATGTCATTAGCATAACAGCCTGTGCTATTAGTATATATCATTAGCGTATCAACCTGTTAGCATATTAGCTGCATCCTTAGTATATCAGCTCATTAGCGTATCAGCTTGTCTCATTACTAATCTTGTGCGTCATCAGCGTCTCTACCTGGGCTGCGTTAATGGTGTATCAACTTGTGCCTGTGCTGTGTTATCAGCCTGTGCTGCATGTGCTATGTCATTAGTGCGTCTGCCTGTGCAGTGTCATTAGCGTTTCTGCCTGTCCTGTGTTATTAGTGTATCAGCCTGTGTCACCAGCGCATCTGCCTGTGCTGTCTCATTACGTATCTGCCTGTGCCGTCTCAATAGTGAGTCTGCCTGTGCCGGCTCAATAGTGAGTCTGCCTGTGCCGGCTCAATAGTGAGTCTGCCTGTGCCGGCTCATAGTGCATCTGTCTGTCAGCTTGTGCTGTGTCATCATCGTATCTGCCTGTGCCGTCTCATTACCGCATCTGCCGGTGCCGTCTCAACAGCACGTCTGCCTGTGCCGTCTCATTACCGCATCTGCCTTTGCCGTCTCATTACCGCATCTGCCTGTGCCGGCTCATAACCGCATCTGCCTTTGCCGTCTCATTACCGCATCTGCCTTTGCCGTCTCATTACCGCATCTGCCTTTGCCGTCTCATTACCGCATCTGCCTTTGCCGTCTCATTACCGCATCTGCCTGTGCCGGCTCATTACCGCATCTGCCTTTGCCGTCTCATTACCGCATCTGCCTTTGCCGTCTCATTACCGCATCTGCCTTTGCCGTCTCATTACCACATCTGCCGGTGCCGTCTCAACAGCACATCTGCCTGTGCCGTCTCATTACCGCATCTGCCTGTGCCGTCTCAATAGCACGTCTGCCTGTGCCGTCTCATTACCGCATCTGCCTTTGCCGTCTCATTACCGCATCTGCCTGTGCCGTCTCAATAGCACGTCTGCCTGTGCCGTCTCATTACCGCATCTGCCGGTGCCGTCTCAATAGCACGTCTGCCTGTGCCGTCTCATTACCGCATCTGCCGGTGCCGTCTCAATAGCACGTCTGCCTGTGCCGTCTCATTACCGCATCTGCCTTTGCCATCTCATTACCGCATCTGTCTGTGCCGTCTCATTACCGCATCTGCCTTTGCCGTCTCATTACCGCATCTGTCTGTGCCGTCTCATTACCGCATCTGCCTGTGCCGTCTCAATAGCACATCTGCCTGTGCCGTCTCATTAGCGCATCTGCCTGTGCCGTCTCGTTAGCGCATCTGCCTGTGCCGTCTCGTTAGCGCATCTGCCTGTGCCGTCTCGTTAGCGCATCTGCCTGTGCCGTCTCTATAGCGCGTCTGCCTGTGCCGTCTCGTTAGCGTATCTGCCTGTGCCGTCTCGTTAGCGCGTCTGCCTGTGCCGTCTCGTTAGCGTATCTGCCTGTGCCGTCTCGTTAGCGCGTCTGCCTGTGCCGTCTCGTTAGCGTATCTGCCTGTGCCGTCTCGTTAGCGCGTCTGCCTGTGCCGTCTCGTTAGCGTATCTGCCTGTGCCGTCTCTATAGCGCGTCTGCCTGTGCCGTCTCGTTAGCGTATCTGCCTGTGCCGTCTCGTTAGCGCGTCTGCCTGTGCCGTCTCATTAGCGTATCTGCCCATGCTTTGTATTTTGTACCTTTGTGTTTTGGGTCTGCAAGTGAAACCACGGAGTTGTTGTTCAGAGGGATTTTCTTCCCTTTTCCAACCTCTGTATCATCAACCCAGGTCCCGTTCCCACTCAGGTCCTCCAAATATACCAGCTTCCCATCCTATAACACACGTGGACAAAGCTTCATATGCATGAGCCTGCTGAAAAAAAGAGAGCTTAAAAAAAAACAAAAGAGAGCCTACGTGTTTCTCTTTATGAGACAGTGTTATCTGCAGTGAGGACTGTGCATGTTGTGTTCTGTGAAAATTTCGTTAACTTGCTTTCACACAGATTTTACCACATTAATATAAGCATATAGGGAAAAAAGAAGGTCTCAAGAGTTTTTTAAGGCTGGCTTTTCATGGTGAAACTTTCATGCGACTTCAATTGCTTGAATTTTACATGAAACTAAATCACACTTGAGTTAAATAATGTAAAGCGTATTGGAGCGAACTTGAAACTTGACCGCAACACACACTAACACACCACCACCACGTCAGTGTTACTGCAGTGCTGAGAATGATCCACCACCAAAATAATACCTGCTCTGTGAGGGTCCATGAGGGTCCTGACCACTGAAGAACAGGGTAAAAGGGGGCTGACAAAGTATCAGAGAAACAGATGGACTACAGTCTGTAACTGTAGAACTACAAAGTGCACCTATATAGTAAGTGGAGTAGTGGTCATAATGTTATGCCTGATCAGTGTATGTTATGTTTCCTAATGACATCACAGAGATAACATGTATAAAGAGAAAAGCAAGGGCCCTAAAACTGAACCCTGTGGGACTCCACAAAAAAATGTTAAATCTCTTCGACGAACGATTTCCCAGTGAAATATAAACCATCCTAAAACTGTGCCCGAGGGGCCTACTCATGATCTTCTGATCAACCGTATCAAAAACTGTACTGATATCTAATAAAAACAGAATAAAAGGATTTTGTGCATCAGCGCAGAGCCTGAGGTTATTCGTAACATGAACCAATGTTGTCCCAGTACTATAGTTAGAAATTAAAGATGAATGTATAGAGTAAAAAAAAGAAACTGTGTTTTCAAAAATATAAGCGGCTACTTTGCCAAAATACTGGAATAATTAAATATAATGTTTTTAACTGTTTAAAATTATGCTCTGTGCAACTCACGACATGCAACTAGCTGCATGAAAGTTTTACCGTGTAATTGCAGCATTAATGCTTTCAAGTAGGTACCCTGAATAGCTTGAAGTGCCTTTTGCTGTATGTTTTGTATCGTGGTGATTGCAGGACTATGGGGTCACTGAAGGCGTAGTCACACCTGCTGTCCCTCCCAAAGTAGTATTGATTTTCTATGCAATCTGTGGGAAGTAAAATAAAAAACGCTTTACCATCAATATTTTAACAGTCTTATGGTATAATAACCCATTTATATCATGTTATTAGAGCTACAGATGACAGCCTACTAAAGACAATATCAATTAAAGATAAGAGCCCTTTTTCAGAGAAGTACTGTGCAGAACACTGGGCTGGACTGTGGTGGACAGTACACTTACTGTGAACATTGAAGCCCCTAATGAGGGGCACCATGCGCCCCCAATATTTGGGCTCAGGCTCTTCAGGTTCTTCAGGAATGGAGGAAAGGTCTGCCACAGGGACAGTGTCCACTGAGCTCAGTGTGCCAGAGCCTGAGGAGGACTGGCTGGCCGAGGTTGGACCAGAGGAGGAGCTGGACCCGGGCTGAGACTGGGTTTGTGACTGAGAGTGGGACTGGGAATGCCCACTCGGTCCGGCTTCGTCCGACATGGTACTCTGTAGTGCTGTAAATGAAGGTGGGCGATATGGCAAAACATATATCACAATAATAATAAGACATTTTTATTATGCATGTTATGTATCACAATATTTCGTTTTTCTGAGATTTAATAAGTTGGAACAGACAAAATAGAATCTTTAGTGACACATAAAACTACTACTACTATAATAATAATAATAATAATAATAATAAAAAATAATAATAAGTACCATTACTTTAACGCAAAGTTTTACAAATGCACTGCACTATATCCAATTAAACAGGCCTCAGTTGTAATGAAACACAGTCTGTGTTCTTTAAGTACTGACAATATCCTCAGAATAGCGTACTGTGACAATTTATCATAACAATGACAAAATATTGTCATATTGCCCACCCAGCACTTTTTTCAAGGGGCTAATGTTATTGTGGTCAATTCTCCATCGATATACTACTCTGAGTATATTATGTTTATGGGTCAGTGCTTACAAAACAGTAAACAACTGCATGCTTCATTAAAAAAAGCATATTTAGACAAATTATGGACAGCCTGTAAACAAACTAGTGTACAGTAACTTGTGGTACTTTTCACAGCCTTTTTGAAGCCCACTGTTGACCAAGTTGTTCACCAAATAAACAATAATAATACATCAATCTGAAAACATATTGTGTATTTTATTTAAAGAAGATAACGTAGATGCAAATTAATGCTTTATTATCCAGCTTTTCATTATAATAGGGAAATGGGAAAATGGTCAATGCCAAATGGCTTAAATTTCCCAAATTAGCAAAATCTTGTGTATTACAAAAACTAAAAGTACTTTATTGTTTTCTTAGTCAAATTTAATTTTATGCCAGTATTATTTTTATGTCTTGTATGTGTATATATATATATATACATACACACACACACACACACACACGCACACCGATCAGACATAACATTATGACCACCTCCTTGTTTCTACACTCATTGTCCATTTTATCAGCTCCACTTACTAAATAGGTGCACTTTGTAGTTCTACAGTTACAGACTGTAGTCCATCTGTTTCTCTGATACTTTGTTAGCCCCCTTTTACCCTGTTCTTCAGTGGTCAGGACCCCCACGGACCCTCACAGAGCAGGTACTATTTGGGTGGTGGATCATTCTCAGCACTGCAGTAACACTGACGTGGTGGTGGTGTGTTAGCGTGTGTTGTGCTGGTCTGAGTGGATCAGACACAGCAGTGCTGCTGGAGTTTTTAAACACCTCAGTGTCACTGCTGGACTGAGAATCGTCCACCAACCAAAAATATCCAGCCAACAGCGTCCTGTGGGCAGCGTCCTATGACCACTGATGAAGGACCAGAGGATGACCGACACAAACTGTGCAGCAACAGATGACCTATCGTCTCTGACTTTACATCTACAAGGTGGACCGACAAGGTAGGAGTGTCTTATAGAGTGGACAGTGAGTGGACACAGTGTTTAAAAACTCCAGCAGCACTGCTGTGTCTGATCCACTCAGACCAGCACAACACACACTAATACAGCACCACCACCTCAGTGTCACTGCAGTGCTGAGAATGACCCACCACCCAAATAGTACCTGCTCTGTGAGGGTCCATGGGGGTCCTGACCACTGAAGAACAGGGTAAAAGGGGGCTAACAAAGTATGCACATATATATGTGTGTGTGTGTGTGTGTGTGTGTGTGTGTGTGTTTGGAAAAAATAAATAAATAATAGAGCCACACGCTGATTGATTGCGTCACGCCTATAAAGTAGTCTGATTGGCCAACAAACGCAGGCGGCAAGCGTTTGAACGTCGCTTCTCCATCATCGGTTCCGGTTCCTCGGGACCAAACCAAACCAAAACCAAAACCAGAACATCAATCGATTGATTGTTTTAGTTCAAATTCTCCCGCTTTACCACTGCAGTTCGGCTTCAGAGATTCGGAGCGTTTCGCTCGGTCAATCTGAGCGAAAATCTGCCAAATAATGTCAAATAAATCAGAGTCAGCGGTTTAAAAAGCGCTCAAGCGAACATTTATCGACGACTGACGAGACGTCAACCCTAAAATAGGACATATAAGCCTTAAAAACAGCGAGTAAGCCGTGAAGTCCTGCAGTTTAGCCAGGTATGAGGTTCTGAGCTCTCAGCTAATACAGAAACTCAGCCTTTTCTCCGGGTTAGCCGGGGTTAAATGAGCTCCATGGCGGATGACGGATGGAAAACGACCGGCGAGCGCGATGATGTAATAAATATATAAATTCATACCGTGTTTGGAAGATTTTAGTGGTTTAATTTGAGCTCCAACTCAACTCACAGCCGGACACATGGATGAAACTCGCCGGATTCCCCCCCACGGCGCGGCAGCCAATCAGAACAGCCCAACGGTCGGCGCGGAATGCTGGGAAATGTAGTTTTTTTTTCCCCCTCCTCAAAGTGAAGCTCGTAGACCGTAATTTTTTATTTAAAAATAGAACACGTATTCTCAGCAGGGGATTTCCTCGATCACATGGCAACATAGTAGGCGTTTAATGAAAGCCAGTGTACATCCTGCTGAAAAACGCAAACGTTTCTGTTGGTTACTGATGGTTTTGTGCAACGCCATTTCCAAAAAGATTGGGACGCCGTGCAAAATATAAATGAAAACGAATTGTAATAATGTTGAATCATTTAAACCCTGTATTTATTTGAAAATAGTGCAAAGACAACATATCAAATGTTAAAACCGAGAAATTGTATTGTTTTTTGAAAAATGTTTGCCCGTTTTGAATTTGATGGCAACAACACGTTCCAAAAAAGTTGGGATGGGGGCAACAAAAGGGTGGTAAAGTTGTGTTGTGCTACAAAAAACACCTGTTAATTGGCAACAGGTCAGTAACATCACTGGGTAGAAAAAAAGCATCTCAGAGAGGGGGAGTCTTTCAGAAGTAAAGATGAGGAGGAGTTCACCACTCTGAGAGAGTCTGTGTGGGCAAATAGTGCAACA